AGGCTGGGGACTCAGAGGAGGGACAGGTGTACAGTCAGAGGACGTAAATGTCGAGCCGGACAACGCCATCGACCAGCGGGGTGTTGCTGGGTCACGGGGAACACACCGCCTGTCCTGAAACACTCATTTCCTTTCAGTGCCCGCGGGAAAGTCACCGAGATAGCCCCTGTCCCAGGCCCCGCAGGGCAGGGGCTCAGTCACCCCCATTCTGGCGCCAATGACAAGGCCGGGTTGTGGCCCGGGCTTCTGAGCCACTGGCTCTGGTTTGGAGGTTCCGACAGCACCCCCTGGGGTTCGAGTTGCTCGTGTGGCTGGAACTCAGAGACGTAGTCATTTCCTGGGTCCCTGGTGTGTGACAGGGAATGTAACCAGGGAGCGGCCAGAGGGAGAGACGCGCAGGGCATGGGATGTGGGAAGGGTCCCTGCCCACCCGGGTCACCGCGGTCCCCCGTCTCCACGTGTTCGCCAGCCAGAAGCCTCCTGAGCCTGTCCGTTCGGGGTGTGGTGGCGGCTTCCTCACAGTCACACCTGATTAAATCACTGGCCATTGGTCGCTGAGCTCCACCTCAGAGGTGGGGGCGGGACAGTCACAGGTTTTGTTCCCTTAGCAGCCCCCCACCCCGCCCTCAGCGGGTTCCAGGTGGCTCAGGGACCACAGCCCGAGGGCGGCGGGAAGGGGCTCGGAGGGAATATCACGACACGTTTATCGCTCTTATCACTTAGGAAGTCCCAGGGCGTCTAGAATTGGGAAGAAGCCCACATATACAGGGGGTAAAAGTAGGTTTCCAGTTGTGAGTATGCAAAACGCAGTTTATTCCTGTATTATTCCTATGATTATTTTGAAAGTTTTTATGTATTTATTGTTAAGAGAGAGAGGAAGGCAGGGAGAGAGAGAGGGAGAGAAACCTCAATGTGCGGTTGCCTCTCGTGCGCCCCCTCCTGGGGACCTGGCTGCAACCCAGGCCTGTGCCCTGACTGGGAGTCGAACCAGCGACCCTTCAGTTGGCAAGCTGGTGCTCAATCCACTGAGCCCCACCAGCCGGGGCTAATCTTGTATTATTGTTGATTAATTAGTGTATTATTTTCCGTACGAACACCTGTAAACGCCTTTTGCCCACCCCGGTATATTTCCTAGTACTAATCACAGCCTCACATCTCCTCTCCCCGGGCCCTGCCCCGTTCCCAGGGGTCTCCGCTCTCCAGCAGGTGCTTTGCCCTCTTGATCCCCCCACTGCTGGCTCCCGCAAGACCAGAAAAACAAAACCAACTGTTTCCAGCTGGTGTAATGGTGTCCCAGGACAAAGTCAAAGAAATTTATTAGGCATACAGTGTTAACCAGAACCCCAAAAGGCACGTGTACAACGTCTGGCGCCGCTGGAATGACCCTGCCTGGGAAGAGCAGAGGAAACACAGCCCTGCAGACAAAGACCAGCCCGGGCAGCAGCCCCAGGCTGACACAGAGCTTAGAACACGGGGAGCAACGGGAAAACCGTCATCACGGCTCTCCTCCGTGACAGGGGGCAGAGAAATGTGCCCGAGCCCCGCACCCGGAGGTGAGACACGGAAACGACCGTGTCTGTTCCTGTGGAGCTGCCTCCCCCGGGGCCTCGGGTGAGCGGGGCCGCCCAGAACCTGTCCCTCTGCGCCGGCTTCTGTCACTCGGCACGAAGCCCTCCGGGTGCAGCCGGGCTGGAGCAGGCGCCGGCAGTGCCCTCCTTGCTAGGGCTGCACGACGTCCCTCCGTGGGGACGAGCGCACCTGGCTTCTGCGTTCACCCGCCGACGGACACTGCGCGACGCCCCCGCCTGTGGCTGTTGTGAAGGACGCCGCTCCGAACGCGGGGTTGCCAACGTCTCCCCCAGACTTGCTAACAGTTCTTTGGGTGCCCACCCTGGGGAGCGATTGCCGGGGCACGTGGTCATTCTGTTGCTTTTTGCAAGAACCGCCCTGCTGTCTGCCACGGCGGCGGTCACTTGGCTGGGAGGGGCGCCCTGTGTGCGGGCGCCTCCAGGGGGTTGGCCTGTTATGTGATGCTTCGTCTGCGGTGATAAGGGCGCTCCTGGTCCGGCGGCACGGGGGTGGCATGGGAAGGCGTCAGGAGATGGTTTGTGTGGGGACGGAGCCCGCGCCGGGGGAAGGTGCGCCCCCTAGATGGGCAGCAAGCCCGACGGTCCCTGAGCTTGGGAGCCCTGGAGCTGGGGGCACCCTGTCCCGACCACAGAACAGAGCGGCACTCAGGAGCCCACGCTGCTGCCCAGGCCCTTGGCTCACGCCTGCGGGCAGTCGGCTCGGGGGCGTGGCTTTCCCAACCTGTCAAAGCCCATTCGGGTTTCCCCAACCCAAGAAAAAGAACTCCCTGCCTCTGCGATTTAATACAAGCCTGACCCCCACCCAGTTCTAAGGTGCAAGGGGTGCCAGGGGTGGGGGTTGGGGCTGTGAGACGGCGGGGCCAGGCGTCCTCCCGGGCCCCCTCACCAGGCCTCAGCGTCCCTCCCACGCCGCAGGAGGCCACGGCCCCAGGCCAGCGGTTGCCTGTTTCCCTTTGTTTCTAAGTTATTCCGTGAACTTCATTCCTGGAGATTGCGACTAGGTGCAGCCTGAGAAGCGTGCTCTGCGGTCACGGTCACGGTCACGGTCACGGTCACCGTTGGCAGGTGCACAGCGGGACACCTGTGAACACCAGCAGGAAATGCCTGCTGTCAGGGGCACCCAGCACCCCCAAGCTCGCCGGGAGGCAGGACGCCTGCTGTTCCTGGAGGGCCTGCAGCTGCTCCGCGTGACCCTGCAGGGCAGCCTCCGCCCCCTGGGGCGCCGTGGCCACCTGTCGGAGTGGCCGATGCTGGGGTCCTGGGGCCACCATAGCAAAGGGCCACACACAGGGCGGAGGCTCCTAAGAGCAGGACCCCACCCCCTCCCAGCCCTGAGGCTGGAAATTCACCATCGGGGGTCCCAGGCTCTAGGAGGCGGCCTTCCTGCCTTTCCCGGCTCCTGGTGGCTTCGGGCGCGTCCCGACCCGTGGCCGCATCGCTGGCATGTCCGCCTACATGGTCACACGGTCTTTCCTCTGTGTTCCCTGCTTTCACTTGTAAGGACATCAGAATTAGACCCGGGCCCTCCCCACCGCAGTGTGGCCTCATGTGAGTTAATGGCCACCCTCCAAGGTTCCGGGTACTCCTGGGTTTTCGGGCGACACCGGCCCGCAGAGCTGCTCTTCGTGAGACGCGCGAACCGGGAAGGCTGAGCCCAGCGGCCGGTTCCCAGAGTTTCAGGAGGCGATCTGGGTGGGGGACTGGAGGGTCATTGTGTCCAGCTCCTGCTGACAGCGCCAGGTGCAAGGAAGTTTATCTCTTGGGCCATCTCAGATCTTCTGACCGAGTGTTACTAACTGCATTTCCTTGCCTGCCCTCACCCAGCTTTGCTTCAACTTCCCACAAAGTTTCGTCAGACTCAGGAACGGCTTGTCTGAGCGGGGGGTGCCCAGGCTGGGACGGGCACCTGCCCCAGTGAGCAGCTCAGGCTGTGGGTCTCGGTCACCATGAGGACGGGGGGCCACGCCTGAGCCAGCTGATGGGCCAGGGCCGGGCCGCCTGCACCCTATCCCCTGCCCCTCCCCCGCAAGAAAGGGCACTGCGGCGACCTGGGGTCGTCCCTCCTGCCGCCGGCACTGACCGGGCACTATGTTAAATGGGCCCTGAGGGAAAGAAGCCAGGGCCAGACAGCAAAATGGAGCTACTCTAGGAGATGCTAGCGATGACAGGTGGGTGGCAAGGCCCCAGAGTGCCCTGGGGACCCCCGGGGGCCGACCCGCCAGGGCCGCTACCTCCAGGAGGCAGAGCGCTCCTCTGTAGGACAGCTCGGAGCAGCTGCGCCCCTTCCTTCCTGCCCCCCCAGTGCTCCCCCTCCCCCAAGACAAGCAAGTTAACCACACGGGATGCCAGGCCATAGCCTTTGCGCCCCCTCCACGCAGGGCACGGGGCACGCACGTGCCCCCCACGAGCGCTATTCGCCAACGTGGAACCAGCGAGGCTTGTCCCTCTGTGACTCGCTCAGTCCCCTCCACACTAGTCAGGGTCCCCCGGGCCCCAGCACACGGCAGCTCACGCATGGCTCTCAGCCTCGCCTCCACCCTGAGTGGGACAATGGCTTCGGTGGGTGAACCGCGGGGCCTGGGAGGTCCAGGAGTCTGACCCTGGGCAGGCGCAGCGGCCGTGCAGGCCCCGCCGCCCACCCCACCTGGAGGTCAGGCCTCTTCCCAGGCACCGAACGAACGACTGGTGCCCGGGGGACCCCGGTGACTCCGTGACCCTCCCCCGCGCCGCTGACACCACTATTATCATTCTCAGCGGCAGCGCCTGCAGGGCGCTCGCCGGGCCAGGCCCGCCTGGGCTCTGCCTGAACGAACCCCACGTTGCCCCCCCTCGCGCAGGGGGCAGGGTGCCCGCCCAGGGCTCCGGCCACAGGTTGTGCAGGAAGAAAAAAGCAGAAGCAGGGAGAGAAGGGGAAGGGACCGCGGGCTTTCCAGGAGCTGGGCGGGGAGGGCAGCCCGGGAGCAGGTGGGGGACGGTGGGGGCAGGGCTGACCGCCGCGCTGACAGACGGCGGGGGTCCTGGGCTGGCCCGGGCCTCTCGGGCCAGGGGCCCTGCCCTCCGGGCCACAGCTGTCCTTGCTGCTGGCTCTGACCCATCACTATCCAGAGTCCGACCCAGGAAGTGTTCCTGGTGCTGGCGGCCAGCCGGGGCCCCCACGCCTGACCCTTCCCTTCTGGGTTCTGCCAGGAACTCTTCAGGCCCCGGGACACAGGGGACCTTCCTGCTTGGGCACAGGGGGAAGAAGACCTCCTATTGTCCTATCAAGGAAGCCACTCGAGGGCGGAGGAGGAGCCTCAGGCATTCGGGGAGCCCCTGGCAGGGGGCCCGCACGACGCTCCCATATAAGGCCCCCAGCCCGCTGCCTCGGCCTCCTCGCTCCCCAGCGCAGAAGTGTCCTCAGCAGCCGCAGCCATGAGGTGTCTCCTGCTGGCCCTGAGCGTGGCCCTGGCCTGTGGCGCCCCGAGCATCTTTGTCCCTCAGACCGGGGAGAATGTGGACGTCCAGAAGGTTTGGGGACTGGGGCGCTGTGCTTGGGCTGCTGGGGTGGGAGGCAGGGTCGGGGAGGGGACGTGGGGCCTCAGGAGCCGGAGGAGGCGGTGAGGTCCGGGGCCTGCGGGGCTTCGCTGGGGCCGCAAGGCCCAGGGACCGAGGCTCGCGAACTGCAGCCGTTCATTGTCTTGTGCCTCAGAGGCTGGGCTTCCGAGACCCAGGCTGGTCAGGGGGGGCTCCTCCTGGCTCCCTCCTGGCTCCCTCCCGGCCGTGCAGACGCCGTCCTGTCCCCGTGCCCCCACACGGCCTTTCCTCTGTCCCCGTCTCCTCCTCCTGTAAGGTCGCTAGTCAGGCAGGATTGGGGCCCGCCCTAGACACCTCATGGCAGCTTCGTCTCCTCTTGAAAGACCCCACATCCAAATGGCCATGGTCTCAGGCGCTGGGGCCAGGACCTCAGCATGTGAAATTTGGGGGACACAGTTACCCCTAACAAGGCCCCTCTGCCCCCGACTTTTCCCATCTCCAACCACATGTCTCCCCAAGATCCAAACCTCCCCCTGTCAATTGCAGAGGGGGACTCTCTAGGTCCTTCTTTGGGCTCAGCTGAGTTTATTTACTTATTTATTTTAAAAATTTTTTATTTATTTATTTTTAGAGAGGGGAAGGGAGGGAAAAAGACACGAGAGAAACGACACTGTGCAGTTCTTTCTCGTGTGCCCCCTGCTGGGAACACGGCCCACAACCCGGGCACGTGCCCTGACGGGGAACTGAACCAGCAGCCCTCTGGTTTGCAGGCCGACACTCAGCCCACTGAGCCACACCAGCCAGGGCTGGGCTCAGTTGAGTTTAAATCGAGCTTTCACAGCTCAGCAGAGGAGGGGCCCCCTGGCGGGCCCAGGGGGTCAGCGAGTGCCCGGAAAACCCAGCCCCTCCTTCTCAGGCCGGCCTCAGGGAGTCGGAAATGGGTAGGACTGGGCCAGGCCCAGACTGGGAGGGGCGGAGAGCCCCCTGCCAAGGGGCGGGAGCCCCGTCCCCGCCCCCAGAGCAGCCCGGTCCTCCCCAGGTCGTTGGGACATGGTACCCCATCGCCATGGTGGCCAGCGACATCGCCCTGCTGAACACTGAGAGCGCTCCTCTGAGGCTGTACGTCAAGGAGCTGAAGCCCACCGCCCAGGGCGGCCTGGAGGTCACCGTGCGCAGATGGTGGGTGGGCCCGGCGGCAAGGGGGCGGGGGGCCGGGCTCCTGACGGGACCTGCCCAGGGTTCTGGGCCCTCGGGGTCAGTGTGGGGAGAGGCTGGTGAGCGGAGGCTGCGCTCAGGGCCTGGCGGCTCCTGCCATGGGCCCCGCGGCCCCTGGAGAGAGAGTGGGGTGACGGAGAGAGCGGGCTGCGGGTGGGGAGGAGAGCCCAGACCCCGTAGCTGCCAGCGGACGCAGGTCGCGGCCCCGGCCTCGGCCCAGGGCCGTGCCAGCCCTTTGCTCTGGCTCCGCGTGAGCCTCGGGAACCAGGCCGCCTGAGGCCGAGGGCGCGACAGGAGTGCGGCCTGGGCAGGCGGCCGCCCCGGGGCTGGCATGCCCTCCCCCGCGGGCCCCCTGGAGCCTCGCGCCTCTGCCGCCGCTCAGAGCCTGTGCGGTGGCTCAGGAGACACTGTCTTCCAGGGGGGACGGCAGCTGTGTCGAAACAAAGATGCTCGCAGAGAAAACCGACGTTCCCGCCTCCTTCCGGATCAGCAGTACGTGCGGCTGCAGGGCCACGGTCGTCAGCGCTGACTGTCTCTCAGGACGAGCCTGTCCTCCCTCCCTCCCTCGGTGGTGCCCGGGGTCTCCCTGGCCACCAGCGCGAAACGCCACCCCGGAGGCGCTCTGGGTCCCGGGGCGCGGGGCTGGGGGTGGACCAGCGGCAACTGAACTGCAGTCCTGCGGGCGGCCGGCGGCCGAGGCCAGGGCGCCCAGGCCCCCTGTGCCCGGGACCCGTCTAGGGAAAGGCCGAGGCGTGTCGGGGCCCAGGAGCCCCTCCCGGGTCTGGCCCGGTGGCCGTGCGGGGAGAGCGACCAGCATTCCCTCTCCTGGGGGAGGAAGAGCCCACTTAACACAGCCCGTCTGGTCTCCCTTCCAGACCTCAAGGACGGCAACGTGGTCCCTATTCCAGAGCTGGCTGAGGGCAAAGTCCACCTGCTGGACACCGACTACAAGAACTTCATGTTCCTGTGCACGGAGGCCGCCGCCTCCGTCGCCTCCGCCGCCTCCGCCAAGCAGATCCTGGCCTGCCAGTACCTGGGTGGGCGCCTGGCCCCAGCCTTCCTGAGCCAGAGGGGGAGGCCCCAGGGTCCCGTGGGGAGAGGGTGGTGGAAGTCTGCGGCCGTGGCTGGCCGGTGACCAGGGACAGGCCTGCAGGCTGGAGGACGGGTTTTGGAGTAGCCGACGGTTACCATGGATCCTGCAGCCTTTGCTAACGGAGAGTTTGAGTGCTTCCGCCCAATAAGACGTCAGCTACAAAAATGCCTTTTAAACTTTACCGTCCTGAGAACAGACCGAGGTGGCGTTTTCAAGGCCACGGAAGCGGTGCCCGTGGGCCTTCCTGCGGCTCCCGGGTCGACCGTGGCTGAGGGGCTGGGAAGGTGCACCCTGGCCCTGGAGCCGCCGGCCCGCGGTGGAGGCGGGACAGCCCGGGGCTTAGGGCTGTGCAGACTCTGGCCCCAGCACCGGCCTCGGGGGCGAGGGGGGCCTGGCCCAGGGGCAGGGACCCTGGAGGGCAGCGGGCTGAGCCCTGGAGACCACCCCCCGGGGAGCCACGCCAAGCGCTGCCGAGGTGTCGGGGCCGCCGTCCAGAGCAGGGTCCCCGGGCTCCCCGGACCCCTCCGAGCCCCCGCGGCCCCGGAGCTGACCCCCTGCCCCCACAGCCAGGACCCCGAAGGCCGACCAGGTGGCCATGGAACAATTCAACAGAGCCATGGAGCTGTTCCCTATGAGCATCTCTCTCACCTTCGCCCCGACCCAGGCACCTCAGGCCGAAGGTGAGCGCGGAGTGCTCTGGCCCTGGGCACGTCTCTCTCCCAGGGGGACCTCCCGGGTCCCCGCAGGCCTCCCGGGAGGCGGGATGGAGGCGCGTGGTGCTGAGCCCCTGAGGTGGGGTCCCCCGCGGGCCCCTCTGGTGTTGTGGCTGACCTGTGACCTCCCCCGGGCGCCCCTTCCCCCCACAGGGCGGTGCCGCATCTAGGCCAGCTGCCGCCGACCCGCCTCCTGGGGTAAGGTTCCTGCCCCGCCCCCTCGTCCTGGGCATGGTGTGGGGTCTCCGTGGGGCGCTGGCGCCGCTCTGTCGCCTGCCCCACGCCCCGCGGGAATGGCTGGAACCTGGGAGTCCGGGGGTCTGTCCGGGGAGGTCTCTCCAGGGGTCTGTGAATGGAGGTGGCCGCACGCCCCCTCCTGGAAGGGCCTTGAACTGCAGGGTGTCTTTCCCGTGTCCTGCACACACTTGCGGGGCCGCCCCTCTGCTCCTTCTCCCTCTGCTCCTTCTGGGCCCCGGTGTGGGCCAGGTGGGGAGGGAAGGGCTGGCGGGGGCGGGGGCAGCCACGCAGCCCGAGGAGGGGCGAGGCGGGGCTCCGTCTCCCACAGGCGGGGCGTCTGCTCCCCCGTGGGGCGGGGCCGGCGCAGGTCGGTCCTGCAGGGTCCCGCAGGGTCCCGGGAATCACGGAGGAGGGCGGAGCCACTGGTCCATCTCAGGAGCCTTGGCCTCTCCGCAGAGACGTCGTCGCCCCGCCTCCCGCGCCGAGACCTCAGGAGGGTCCGAGACCATGGAGGCTGGTGGACGCCGCTTCTCCTGCAACCCGGCACCGGCGGGGTCCCCGCCTGGGGCCCGCCGCCCTGAACTGTCCCCCTCAGCAATAAAGAAACTCGCCTGAAAGCCTGTCTGTCCGCGTCCTTCCTGGCGGTGGGAGTGGGACTGGGCGACTCAGGCTGGCATCTGGGGTCAGGTCTGGGGGCAGGTCCTATGGGCCACAGGCCTCCGGGCATTGAGGGTCAGCGCGGCTCCAGCTCTGCGCAGTTTTCAGGGGCTGAGAGGCTCCCGAGGCTGCTGTCCGGTTAAAGCTGCCTTCTGCCCACCCAAAGCATCACAAAGGGTAAGAAATGGGAACTGGGCAGCCACTTAACCTAAATACCTAAATATTCACACAGCAACTCATTTAAGGTGCTGGCAGATCAGATCCCGCACTCTTCAAAACGCAGCCCCTTGACCTTCAAGGCCACCTCCCCGATTGCTACAAGGACGTCTTGATCTCAATCTCCTTGCACCTGTAAATGCACCATTTTTTTTCTGGGCTGATATAAAAAAAAAGAGATTTCCCCTGGATGGAGGGACCGGGAAGCTGAGGTGGAAAGTGGAACGGAAACTTGTTTGCTTTTCACAAACTTTACAGATCACGAATGGAAGAAGGGTTGATAGCAGCAGAAATAGGGGTTTTCAAATAGTGAGAACCATTTACACAGAGTATGACAACACACACATATTTTAATATGTATGTGTAATTACATATAAATAGATAAGGTACATATACACAACAGTTTATGTATAATAGTAAAGCTTTAAAAATAGAGATGGAATAGATCTCTTGCGGAAAACAAATGAGGAGGGAACCCCTCCTGGCTCATTTTATGAAGCTAATATTGCTCTGATTTCAAAAGCATACATTTCTCAAAAAACATCAGTGACCAATGTTGGCTGAAAAAGAAAATTTTAAAAGAACCATAAGTACAGAAATTAAGAACGTTTCCGGCCGTTCTCAGCCCGTGGACGCTGGTTCCCCACTGCACAGTGCGTCCCAGGGCGCAGAGGTGGGGCGGTCGGCCTAAACCACAGCGGAACCCGGGTGGTACAGGACCGTCCCCAACGGAATAAAGACACACATATCTAAAGACTTTATCAGCAGGCTCAATCTAGCAATGTAGTTAATATATCTTTTTAAATTAATTTATTTTTAGAAAGAGAGGAGGGGAGGGAGAAAGAGAGGGATAGAAACATTGATGTGCGAGAAATACGCATCCGTCGGTGGCCTCTCTCACGCCCCCCACCAGGGACGGGGCCTGCAACCTGGGCCTGTGCCCTGCCTGGGAATCGAACCAGCGACCTTTCAGTTCGCAGGCTGGAGCTCATTCCACTGAGCCACACCAGCCAGGGCAATGCATGATTTTAACTTTGAAAATCAAAGATGTTTTCATGTTAGAAAATACATTAAAAATTTACTGACTCATCTGATTAAGAGAGAAACGCTCACATAAACACCTGTAATGGATTAAAAACCATTTCAAAAACATCGTTTCCCCCGGAGGAGGCAGACTCTTCCCACGGCAGTTGTGCCGCTCAGCAGCACCTGGCTCGCGCTGTGTCGAGGCGCAGCCCTGAAATCTCAGCGGCTTCAAACACCCGGGGCTGATGTCTTGTTTGAGCAACATGCCCTTTGCAGCTTGGCAGGGCGTCTGTGCCCCGTGGTCACTCGGGGATCTAGGCGGTCTAACGGCCACCGCCTGGGAGGCCGCCGGCCAGCACGCCGAAGTGGAGCCCCAGGCACCCAGGGCCTGGCGCAGTCCCTCTTGCACCCTCTCCTGAAAGGCACACATTTCTCCTCCTCCCCACCTGTGGGCCGGGCTTTCTCACTTGGCTGCAAGGCAGCCAGAAGGGACCATTGGCCTGGGAATACGAGGGGGCGTCCTTAAAAGGACAGTGATGTTTTTAAACCTCCCCACATCATACTTAGTGGTAAAAGATACAACGTTTCCCCGTAAGGTGGAGGACAAGGCCTGAGCGTCCTCTGCAATGCCACAGGGAAAGCCCCGGTGCAGGAAGGCCCTGGAAAGAAAGGAAAGACAGAGGCATTGGAGAGGGAACGCCTAGCAGAAAGACCAACCAAAAAGAGAGAAGGCACCAATTACTGACGTCAGGAATGAAAGGGGCCGGCGCTATAGGCCCCTCAGACATCAAACTAAGAGTGAGGGAATGCTGTGAACAATGCTTTGTACATAAATTTAACAGTTCCTCAAAAAATACAAACGACTGGCCCGGCTGGTATGACTCAGTGGGTTGGGTGTCGTCCCGCAAACAAAGGTCTCCAGTTCAATTCCTAGGCAGGGCAATTCCTGGGTTGTGGGCCAGGTCCCCAGGAGGGGGCGCATGAGAGGCAACCACACATGGATGTTTCTCTCCCTCTCTTCCTCCCTCCCCCCTTCTCTAAAAATGAATAAAATAAAATCTTTAAAAAATTACAAACAACCATGACTCATCCAATATGAGCTAGATAATTTGAAGAGCTCTACTAGTATTTACAGAATTGGATTTCTAATTTTCAAACTCCCTGAAGAGACATTTCCAGGCCCAGATGGTTTTACGGGAGGATTACACCAAATCTCTGAAGACTTAGCACAAACGTTACACCATCTCTTGCAGAAAACAGAAGAGGAGGGAACCCTTCCTGGCTCCTTTTATGAAGCTAATATTGCTCTGATTTCAAAACCATACAAAGACTTTTTTTTTAAACAGACTAATGTTTCTCATTAATAGAGATGCAACGATCCTTAACAAAATGTCAGCAAACAGATTTCTGTGATGCACACAGAGAAACGTACGCCGCGGCCAAGCTGGATTGTCCCAGGGCGGCAGGGCTGGCCCGGCACTTGGAAGTCCACCCATGTGACCCACCGTTTGCTCAGGCTCACAGGAAAAGCTGGGTGATCTATCAATGCAGAAAAAGCATTCGACCAAACTCAACACCCACGCGTGATCAAGCAAACACTTGGCCAAACAGGAAGAGAGGGGCCTCCCTGCTTGGCCAGGGCATCTACAGAACCTCAGAATTCACTTTGCACTTAGTGGGGTGAGGGGTGCTATCATCAGTGACCGATGGTGGACAACCAGAGATGCGGCAAGGATGCCGCCTCTCCCCCCCTCGTTCAGGAAGTTCTAGCCCGGGCAACAGGCAAGAGAGAAATAACAGGCAGACCTGCAAGGAGGCAGCGAAGGATCTCTGCTGGCAGATAACGTGATTGTCTACGGAGAGGATCCCAAGGAACCTATGAGGAAAAAAACAAGCTGGAACAAACGCGTAAGCTCACTGAGGCGGCAGGATTCAGGATAAACATACAGAAATCAGTTGCATTTCTACATACTAGCAGTAAGTACGTAGATACTGCAATTAAGAAATACTATTTATGATCACTCAAAAAAAACAACAACTGGAAGCCGTAGGCGGAAGGCTAAGGAAACAGGGGCAGGGTCAGCATGCGGAAGACTACATGCTGCTGATAAAAAACAACCCAGGAGCTAAATAAGGGAGGGACTCACAGTGCCCACTGACCATAAGACTCCAACAACGAAAGGCCGATTCTCCTCGGACTGGCATCCGGGTTTGATGCTGTGCCCCTCAAAATCCCAGCAAGGATTTCTTAGACACGGGTGAGATTGTCCTAAGATTTACATGGAAAGGCAAAGGAACTAGAGTAGCTAAAATAATTTTTTAAAAAATAAACGAGGGGAATCTGTCAATCCGATTTCATATCTTGTTATGTATCTTGTTATATAGCTCCGGTCATCGGGAAGCTGTGGTCTTTGCTGAGTCGCGAACCTGGAAATAGACTCACACCCGCAGGTCCCACGGTCGCGCTGTTGCCCAGAGGGGAGTGTCCCTCACTTGCGCACAAGGGGAGGGCGGCTCGCCTGCCTCCGCCACAGCCTGGCGCACCAGCCAAGCTCAGCGCCCCCGCCGGTCCCTCCGTGCCCAGGCAGGCTCCCAGCAAACGGCAGCCTCTCCCTCTGTGGGTCCCTCCCAGGAAGGAGTCTCTCCCCTCCCCGCTGCCAGTGGCTGTAGCACCTGGCAGGTTCTGTCCCTGTTCATGTCCTGCCTTGTTACCAGAGCTGCGCTCACAGATGCCCTGTGGCGGAGCTTCTCGGCCGGGGTGGGGAGCCATGGCCGGGGAACGTCCCACGCCAGGCGCCGCCGTGCCCGAGACCCTCAGACAGCCCGGCCGCCAGGCTTTTCTTAAAAAATAAAATAAAAAAAAATTAGGCCTATTTTGTGCCTTAGATGCTGCAGCTCCTGAACCCGGAGCTGGGGGCAGCCTTGGTCCCAGGCCCCGGCGGCCGTGTGGCACCGGACCTACCACAGGTGATGGCTCGGCCACCAGGGCCGTCACCGCCCCATCCCCCTGTGACGGGTCCCCTCGCACTCTCTGTTCCCCGTCAGAGCAATCGATGGCTCATTAAAAGCCACCGGGCACCTGCAGGATGTCAGAGCTGCTGAGAGCGAAGCTCATACGGAATCGATCCTTTTTTTAAAAAGATTTTGTTTATTTTTAGAAAGAGGGGAAGGGACGGATAAAGAGGGGAAGAGAAACATTAATGCCAGAAAAACCTATCGGTTGTCTCTCGTGCGCCCCCTACCAGGAATTGAACCCACAACCCAGGCGCATGCCCTGACTGGGAATCGAACCCGTGACCCTTTGCTTCGTGGGATGACACCCAACCGACTGAGCCACACGGGCCAGGCCTGAATCAATACTTTTGAACCTGAAGGGAAAGCCCTGGCTGACAACCTAGTGCACCCGCGGCTCTCGCTCTCATAGGGTCCCACTTTGAGTCCTGAGGCTGTAACTCACAGACGTGTGTCCCTAGGACAGGAAAAGGCACCGGCCGCTCCTGGACGTTGACATGCCCCGGATGGCTGCTGGGTGGCATCTGAGTCCTCTCAGGCAGGCCCACACCAGGACAAAGGGCCCACCCCGTCTGGAGACGTCGGAAGGGAGGTGCAGCCACCGGCCCAGCCAGGCGGTGTCCTGTCTGCATCTCACCCTGGAAACCTGGGGCTGTGGGCTGCACTCCGACCCCGTCCCGAAGGGCCAGGTGGACCTTTCCCCGTGAGCCCCCTTAGCGTCCCTGGGTGGCCCCACAGCGGGGGCGGGGTGCTGGCTCTGGTCTGTGAGGACAGGTCGGCTGTGTGTCTCACTCACCGAGAGCCTTCCGAGGTGGCCCCCGACATTGCAGTGACACTGCAGAGCCGACCCGGGCTGTCCTCAGGGACACTCGCTTGGTGACAAGCTCTAGCGGGAGAGCCGCATCCAGGCTGCGAGCGGGAGATGGCCCTGGAGCCGGTCTCCCTGTGACCGTGGGTGAGGGCGGATCCCAGAGAGGCAAGGCCAGACGGGGTCTCACCCCTGGGCACGGGGGTGGGGGGCGCTTCGACAACCCGCAAGCATGTCCCACCCGCGGGAGGGGCTGACAGTCCCGAGGACTCCCAGGGCAAGAGAGGCGGGGCCCCAGAAAAGGGCGTCGGTGCATTGGGCACCGGCCGAGACCTCCAGCCGAGACCTCCTCCCCCACTGCGTGGGGGATGGGCGCTCCCAGGAAGGGCTCAGGCTGGGAGGCGGGAGCCAGCCCGAGGGACGGGCAGCCTCCCATGGCGCCTGGGACAGACGCGCAATGTGGCCTAACTGCCCTGACAGCACTCAGTCGCTCCCCACCCCCCGCCAGTGACACCCAGCACACTTTTGACACAGGCATCTGGTATCACTCCCATGGGTGTGATTCCGGAACCTTCAGGGAGTCCAGGCAGGACAGAAGGGCCGCTGGAGGACGTGTACGAACAGAGTGCCCGGCTGCCCAGCCTCTGCTCCCACTGGCCTCTGCAGCCATGGCCCCAGACACAGGGCCCCTCCTGTTGCTTGTCCTCAGCCTGGGCCTGGCCAGAGCCCAGGAGACTCTGGAGGAGGTGCCCGCGCAGCCAGGGTTTGACGCCAACAAGGTAACTGTGCTGGCTCAGGCGCCAGACGCGCCCTGGGTCGAGGATGTGGGTGTCAGCGTCTCTGGGGGGCAGGCGGGCAGGACACCAGGGACAGAGGCGGTGGGGACGCCAGGCTTTGAGGCCTGAGAGGGGAGTGTCCATAGGAAGGAGGCTGACCACGCCCCCAGCCCCGGCCCGGGGCCTGGGGTTTCACCTCTCACCCCGGGGGTTCGCGACCCCCCAGCTGGCGAGGGGCCCGAGAGCCAAGGCTGGAGGCTCCGCGATCCCCCGCCCCCACGCCTGCGCCCCTGCAGGTGGAGGGACGCTGGCTCACTGCCCGGCTGGCCGCCAGCCACACGCACCTCGTCTCCCCCGCCGACCCCTTGAGACTGGCTCTCCATTCCATCGCGACCCGGGACCGGGACCTGGAGTTCATCTTATTCTGGACGTAAGCCTGGCCCCTGCAGGTCCTGGCTGGGTGCGCAGGCGCAGGAGCCTCCCAAGGAGCAGTGACAGCAATTAGAGCAGGACGACACATGTCACTGAGCCGGGGGCTTGAGCCACTGATGTAGGGCGGGCAGGAAAGACGCACACCCAGCCACCCCGCGGTCCTCACGGAAGACCCCAGGTGGGGCCCCAGGGGCCAAAAGGAGTGGTTGGTGCACGGAGCCCAGGTGATCGGGGACACCAATCCTGGGTCCCCACCCCAAGACCTGAAGCTCTGACCAAGGACAAACTGGATCCAATCCCTCCTGGGAGGTCTGGCTCCGTCCCGGACAGGAGCCCCGGTCCTCGCTGCAGCCCTCCAGCCCCGCCCGGCCCCCGTGGACCCACTCTCCTGTGCCGGCTGGGTGACCCTCCGGAGCCCGGGGGCGCCCAGAGCCTCAGGAGGACACTGGGGACCTCAGCGGGACAGAGTCGGAGATGGCACCACCCGGGGCCGGGGGCAGGGCCAGGCAGGGGGCAACCATGTGTCAGCTCCCCTCTGTCTCCTCAGGGGCCAAGGGATGTGCCAAAGAGTCAAGGTCACCGTGCACCCAGTGGGGCTCCGAGGCCAGTACCACGGCTCCTGTGAGTAGCCCAGCCCTCGGCCTGGGGCCCACGCCGCGGGGAGGGGATGCTCGACACCCTAAACTGGTCACGGGCGCAGTGCCATGTGCATGTGCTGCCCCAAGGGCAGGCCGGGCCCGGGGGGTGGAGGAGAGAGGTGTCACCTGTCCCCGGCCTGGGGCCTGTCCCCCACAGTTGAAGGCAGCGGCAGCATCCTCGTCCGCTTCGTCGGCACCGACTACAACAGCCTCATTCTTTACATCCGCGTTGAGGATGGTGGCGGCGAGGTCACCAGCCTGTGGGCGCTGCTGGGTAGGTGGTGGCTCTCCCCAAGGCCGGGCGCTCCCCGCGTCTGCCCAAGGCCTGTGCCTAGTGCCCTCTGTGTTGCGGTGCAGGGTCCGGCCGGGCCTGCTCAGCTCTGCGCCCTCGTGCCCCTCGGCCGTGCACCCCGGCCCCGCGCACCCCACGTCCACCCTCACACTCACGCACCCTCCTCTCGTCCGAGCCTTGCTGGGCTGCTGGGCGTGACTGGCAGTTGGCTTCCCTGTGGTCAGGTCAGAAAAAGCCGCCCGACCTCGGCGGGCGAGCTTAGCAGTCACTGAGTCACCTGGGAGATGGGAGAGGAGGCACCTGTCCTCAGACGACAGGTGTGGGAGGGGCCAGGGCAGGGCGTGTCTGAGACAGGGTGGGGCCGCATCACCCGGGTCCCCCAGCTGGGAAGGGCCAGTGGGGTGGGGTGGGGATGGCAGGTCACATGGCAGTGGCCCTGAGTGCACAGCGAGGACCCTCTGGCTGTCCCCGACAAGGGAAGACGGCCTGACTGGCCCCTTCCAGGACCGCTGAGCCGCTCTGTTTCCTGAGGACACAGGGCAGGTGGGGGACAAGGGCTGCGGCCAGGGCACCAACCCGGCCGGCGGGCAGTGGACTCGGGCCCGGCTGGGAGCCGGGAGAAGGGGCCCCTCGCCACCAGCCCTTCTGTTTTCAGCCCGAAGCGTGCCCGCGGACCCCAAGTGGCTGGGGAAATACCTGGAGTACGTTCGGGAATTCCAGCTGCGAGAAGCACCCGTCTTCAACGTGGACGGTGAGCACCGCCCCGCCCCCCAGCCCCCCTGCCCCGCCCAGGCCACAGAGTGGGGTCTGGAGCCTCACCTTCCGGCGTCGAAGCCCCCCTGGCGACAACAGGCACGGGACCAGCGCACTCAGAGGCGTGGCAGCCTCCATGGTGCCGGTGTGGCCAGGCCTGTGCTGGGCGCCTCAGCTGCCTGAGCCCATGGTCCCCTGAAATGTGGTGACCTGGGCTCCGGTGTGTCTCCTCTTGAGAGGTTCAGAGACAAGGTCAAGGTCACGCAGCTGGGAGCAGGAGATGGGGGCAACCCCTTTTCCCTGTGTATTCTCCCTCGGGGAACATTTAGTCGATCAACAAACACACGGGCCAGGTGCTGTTGTGGGGAGAGCGTGGGACGCCCGTGGAACAAGGCAGACACGCTCTCCAGCCCCTGTGCCGGTCCCACGGGGAGGCTGGTCCCACCCCTAACTTGTCAGGGACGAGTGCCTAGGGGTGGGGACCAGGCCGCGCTGCAGGGCCGGGAGAGGAGCCGACGGGCACGCCGGGGAGGCCGGGGACGGGAGCAGGGCGACTGGGGAGGGAGGGCCTGGGGGGCGGTGACGGGACGGCTGCCGTTGGGGGTGTGGACAGCAGGGGCAGGGCACCGCAGCAAGGACGACGGTTGCGCGCCGTGTGCGTGACTGATCGACGGGCAGACGGATTCATTTCAAGACGAGCGGAGGACCAGCTCTGAACCCCACCTGTCCTTTTCCCTCCACAGCCCAGTGTCCCCCGCACGAGGCCTAGGTCCGGGCCAACCGCCCGAGTCTCCCTGCTTGGCCCTCTGCCTTCCCGCCCCTCTGCTACCGCAGGAGCCCTTCCCGACTGGGCCCGCCCCGCCATCTTTGTCCCTCCCCCGCTGTGGTCACCAGGCCTGCCAACCAATGACTGAGGGGCCCGCTGTCTCTCCTGGCCTGGCCCACGGGCTTGAGAACGTTCTGGATGGTGAAGAGGGGCGGGTGGCCTGGAGCGCAGCATTGTGGTCCAGCGGACGAGCCCTGGTGACCCTTTGAGGGGACGGTGACCCTGTGAGCGTCCCGGCTGGCACTCCTCTGACCTGTCTCAATTGAGTTCTGCTCTGGGACAGTCGCTGCCCAGGTCAGAGGGGCACCGAGTGACCATACTCACCAGAAGAGCAAGGTAAACGCGGGCCCGCACACCTGCACGCAGGTGAGCCCGGACGGCGGCCCGCCCTCCCGAGAGGCAGGCCGGCAAAGGCGGAGCTGGGCGGAGGGCGCCCACCTCTGCCCGGGGAGCCAGGCCCACCCACGGTGGGCAGCTCCCAGGACACTGGGTCTGGAAGCGCCGGGGAGACAGGCATGACCAGCTCCTGCCGCGGACACGCCCTCTGTGGAGCCAGGCTCCCGGGTCGCGGGGCAGCGCCTGCCGCTGACTGGGGCCGTGGTGAGCGGCGGCTCCCAGCTCCGCAGCTGCCTCCGAAGCGCAAACCCGAGAAGACAAGCGGAACGGACACGCGCCCATGCCAGGGGCTCGGGATCTGCAGACTTTGTATGGAGAAGATCTTAAATGTCCTCGCTCGGGGACACAGGAAAACAGGATGCGTGAAGAGCTGTGCGGCGCTCCTGCGCGGTCGTCAGCGCCGTAACTAGCGAACAGCCCTCGAGCTAACCGGCACGTTTGGGGCAACGTGATCAGTATTAAACGGGACGTTCTCCCCAGACCGCAAACCCGATCTCAGCGCCCCGTGAAGAAGTGGAGTTTTGAAACGTTTGAGAGAGGAGTCAAGCAAAGGCATCTCTGGTGGGCGGCCAGGTGGGTGTGGCTAGAGCAGGGCCGTGGGCCGGGCGCGGGGTCACCAGGGCGAGAGTCCTGGGGGCCCAGCAACGGGCAAAACTGCGAGGCCGGCAGGACCCCCCCTCAGGCGGGAGCCCCCAGAGGGGACTCCCAGGCCTCAGCTGGGCCTCAGCTCCAGGCCCGAGCAGCAGAACCAGGCGAAGGGACACTGGGGCTGACCTCAGGGCCAGAGGCCATGGCCATGACCCCTGCCCGGCGCCGACCAATCAGTGGAGACCAGGCCCTGAGGCGATGCAGGGAAAGCTGACAAATAGTCCGTTGAGGTCCCCCATGTGCGAGCCTCAGGACGGGGCCCAGGGCGGCTGTCTCCTTGGAGCACCCTGCGCCCCGCCCCCTTCCTCCCCCAGGGCGAGCTCGTGCATGCGCGCTCTCTCTCTTGCGCGTGCTCTCTCTCTCCTGGAGCCTGCTCGGGCCTCTCCTCCCTCGTGCGTCTCTGAAGGCCCGCGTGTGTGTCTCTCACTCGTTTCCTGAGCCCCTTTCCTCCACGGCTCACTTCTCCCGCCTCTGCGACTGTCTAAATAAATGTTCGCTTACAGCGCGAGTCTTGGCTCCGAGCCCTTTCTCCGCCGGAACTCGAGCACCACAGCTGCCGAACTGAGGTCCAGCCTGACTCCAACCACGGGCAACATTCTGGTGCTGTTTTTGCCGCTAACGGGTCAACCCGCCATTCCAACAACTAACATCAGATGACAGAGGCTAAAGTTATGTGGCATTAGCTCAGGGACAGAAAAGGAGACAAGAGAAACTACAAGGCAAGTCCAGAAACGAACCCAAGTCAGTCCGTAAGTTACTGTATCATACAGGTGGTCCCTCTTAAAAAGCATTATTTATTCCATAACACAGTGAAGGGAAATGGCCAAGATACTTGGAGGGAAAAAATAACATGAGCTGTCTAACTCTGCATACGATCTTAAAATAAATTCCTGATTAATTCTGAATCAAAAGGAAACCTCGAAAGCCTACCATACCTATAACCGGGGATGGGATGCCCGCGCTATGGATGTAAAACTCAAGGGAAAGATGATAATTTCAAAAATGTATATGTTGGTATATCAAATACACCATCAACAAAACTGAAATACAAGTGACACTTGAAGTCAATGTTTTCAACAGACTTGACAAAGAGCCTCCGTCCCATCTAAGAACCCACACGGCAAGTCCTCACTTCACGCCCCCCGTAGGTTACGCAACATGAACTACGAGACCCCACTTTGCCATCGGCTGACAGATACGAGCACAAGGGGGTCCCTAGGGAAGGGACACAGGTCCCACCATAAACCCTGACTGTCCTCGGCCCCCAGCTCCGATTCAAGGGGATCACTGATGAACCTTACAATCTAGGCGTCTCACTGCCACGATTCGGACGCTTCCTGTGCGCGTGAGCTCGGCCGCCCTGGCAGAGCGCCCCCGAGGGGCGGTTTCAGCGACAGAGGCTCCGTGCCCCTGCCCGCAGCCCGGACGCCCGGGCGCCGGCTGCGCGCACGGCCGTCTCCTCCCCATGGCCTCCCGGGGCCGTCCCTCATCCCCTCTCATAAGGTCGCCAACCCCACTGGACTGGGGTCCACCCTCGTGACCTCATTTCACCGTAGTCACCTCTACACACACCCCGCCTGCAAAGGCTGCCCCGTGCTGAGGTCCTGGGGGGCTTAGGGCATCCACGTATGAATTTGGGGGGCACGTTCAGGCCATCCCCCAACTCCCCTGTTTTCATGCTGTCAAGAGGGTTACGAAGAGCAGCTTTCTGTGACTTCGGACCCTTCAGGCCCTTGAGGACTCTGGGGCCCCCCACTGTCCTGAGCCGCCACAGCGCTCCGGGCTGCCCACGTCTTTGTCACTTCAGGCACTTTTGAACTTGCGAAAGGAGTGCCGAGACATCTCCTGTTCTAGGGAAACCCGGCAGCCTGAGGACACGGTTCCACTCGCAAGGATTTTCCATCCCTCGCGGCCTCTCCTGGGGGCCCCCCCCCCGCCATGAGCTCGGTGCACAGCTCCCTTCAAAACATGAACAAAACACCCCGGCTGGCGCGGCTCACTGGACTGAGCGCCGGCCTGTGAACCAAAGGGTCACCGGTTCGATTCCCAGTCAGGGCACATGCCTGGGTTGCGGGTCAGGTCCCCAGTAGGGGGCGCAGGAGGCAACCATACAGCGGTGCTTCCCTCCTTCTCTGTCTCCCTCCCTTCCCCTCTCTGTCTAAAAATAAATAAATAAAATCTTTTTGGAAAAAAAAAGTGAACTTGAGCTCAATCAAAGAAGGACATGTATTTGGCACAAAGTCTGCCCCATCCAACCACACAGCAAACAGAACGACAGCTGTCAGAAGATTCGACACAGCAATAAGCAGCCCAGGACTGAGAAGTGCACTGCGTGTCTCCTGAGTAAGCTCATCAGTGTTTATTTCTCCCTTTGCATGTCTCCCTTTGTGTGTATATATATTTCTCCCTTTCTCCACTAAAAAAAGTTTATGCCTCCAAAATCATTTAAAGGCCTTCTACGATACATACAACATCACCATGCATTAAACATTAAACAATCGTCCTTTTATTCCTTATCCTGCTTTGGATAAGGAACATCGAGTGGCTGGACGTGGCGAGGAGGAGAGTTTCTGTTGGGTGGCGGTGCGTTCTCCTGCCTGAGCGCGGGCCGCGGGCAGTGTCCCCGGCGCGGGACTGGCGGTCACAGGCCCCTCTTGGCGAGCTGCAGCACCTTGACGTACTGCACCTGCCGGGGCAGGAGAAGCGCCGCGTCCCAGTTGTATTCCGGCGACAACAGCTTGGTGGGCTTATGCAGGAAGAAGTACTTGTTCAGGTATCTTTCGTAGGTGCTGTTCAGCCCGTGCTTCTGGTCGTGGGCCACGCCGCTCAGGTACGCTTCGACCAGGTTCAAGACGTGCAAGGGCGTGCCCCCCACGAGGGCGCCATCGTAAAAGAAGTCCCCCTCTCCAAACGGGATGCAGGCTGCGGACCTGCGCCTCCTCTCGTAAGGGAGGTTCTTCCTGCCTTTGAAGTACCACCAGGCGTGGAGCTGGGCCACAGCGGTGCCTAGGATCTCCACCCCAACGTCGTTCTGGAAGACCTGGTCCACGCTCATGCTGAAGAGAAAGTCGACCTCCCCCCGGATGTCACTGAGTATGTATTCGCCCAGGCTCTTCATGCGCAAGAGGTTCCAGTCGGGCCACCAGGAGTCCTGGCTGATGGTCAGGACCCTGAATGTGTGCAGGGGGACAGGCTGCAGGTGCGGCAGCTGGTACCAGTGGTCCACCATGACGTAGAAGACAACCCGGTACCCGGGCAGGAAGTGCTTGTTCGCTGATCGCAAGAAGGGTTCCAGGTACTGGTCGGCAGTCCTGCAAAACAGGTGCGCCAGGGAGACACTTGTCTCCCGGAGCACAGGCGTCGTCGCGCAGGCTGTCCAGCGCGAGGGTCACCGGGGCTTCGGACACCCCGCAGGCGCGGCTGAGGTGGCAGGAGGCGGCGGGAGTGTGAGCCGCTGGCGAGGGGAAGAGCCTGTGGTGGGCCGGGCCCGAGAAAAGCCCTCAGAGTTTGGGGACGGCCGCTGGGGAGAAACAACCAGTGCTAAATGGATGTCAGGAAAACGTAATGACCCAGGAAGGAGAGGGCGAGGGCCAGGACCCGCAGGGACAGTGGCTACGAGGGGACGAGCAATTCTTGGGAGGCAGGAGGGCCAGGGGTTCTCGTAGGGCTGTTGCAACATAAAAAAGGGCCAAAGCGCGTGGCCCCTACCTGCCGGCGGCAAAGACAGCCAGGCCCACGGTGAGGTTCTGCCCCGTGTAGTGTCTCCACAGGGCCTGCCTGTCGAAAGTGCCCTCCCAGATGACGGGGGCCCGCCAGCCCGTGGTCGTTAGGACGTCAGGCCGGTTCCTGGTGAGCGAGCGAGAGGCAGGTGCAGCGAGCCGGTCCCGTGCTTCCTGCGACAGCAGCGGAGGCTGCTGCCTCGAACCGCGAGCACTCGCCGCGCCCGCGCCCTGTGACGTCGCTCGCCCGGTCCCTCCGCGCCCACCGCAGTGGGCGCTGTCACGATCCTTGTTCTGCGTGTGGGGAGACTGAGGCACACGTTGGTCAAGTGACTTGCGGATGCCAGAGTCGTCCGTCCGTGGGAGTCGGTGTGGGAGGCCCGGGCAGCCTCTGCCTCTGTCCCCACCACACCCGCCCTCGGAGCCCAGGGCCCGCCTCCTTCGAGCCCCGACTGCCTCCGCTGAAGCAGGGCCGGACGTGCTGGCCCCGGCACCGGCCACGGCCTCCCCGCGCCTGCTGCCTTCTCCCTCCCCTTTTCCTACGAGGTCTAGGGGAAGCTTTTTTTAAACCTCCCCCTCATGCTTTAAGGCCTCTTTGCAATGCAGCAGAAATGAACAGATCGCTCCTGAAAGGGAGAGAGGCCTGAGTGTGCTTTCAGTAACACACCAACAGCAGGGTTTAAGAGACACAAAGCGGGTTGGACAATTGAAACCATGCAGTGCGGCCGCCCACCGTGGGCCCCTATCACCTGATACAGAATAAAAGCTCCCTGCAAAGTGCAACACCCACTCGTGATCAACACGAAAAGCTCTCAGAAGCGAAGGAACAGAGGGGAGTTAGCTTCACGTGACCAAGAGCAGCTACAGAATCCTGCAGCTAAAGTCCCGCTCAACGGTGGAAAACTGAATGCTTTTGTCCCCAAGGTCAGGGACATAGCGGAGTGAGTAGTGCGCCAGCCAGGCAGTGAGGCGAGAGAAGGAAATAGCAGGCATCTGATTGGAAGGAGACATGGACTCCCGGTTTGGCAGATGATTGATGGTCTATGTAGAAAATCCTCAGGATTGGGTCCCGGCTGCTGTGGCTCAGTGGACTGAGCACTGGCCTGCGAACCAAAGGGTCGCGGGTTCGATTCCCAGTCAGGGCGCAGGCCTGGGTTGCAGGCCAGTTCTCCAGTGAGGGGCGTGTGAGAGGCAACCACACTCTCTTTCTCCCTCCCTTTCCCCCCTCTGGAAAGGGAAGAAAGAAACCTTCAGGATTAGGAGAAAACCCCATCGGTCCAGCGGAGTTGCACGGTGTGCGTGAGCCGACACGTTGCCCTACCTGGGGTGGAACCAGTCTGAGAGCCGGAGTTCTCCCGCTCTGCGCCTGGGTGCAAAGGGGAACCGAGTTAGCGCCGCGTGGCCTGCTGGGCTGCTTGGCGCCGTCCCCACAGCTGAGCACGCACGGCCGCACCACCTGCCCTGGGGACGCTGGCACGGAGGTGCCCGGGTGCTCCCCAAGGTGGGCGCTAACAGGGGGCAGGGCTTCTCGGGGCATAAGTGGCTCATTCAATCCACATTTGGGGTCGGGGGCGCTGCTCGGAGACGAGAGGCCTCGCCTGTTCTGGGAGGGCTCAGACAGTCAGAGCGGGTGGGGCGGTGGCCAGCGGGAGCGCGCTGTTGGGGGGCTGCAAACCCCTAGCCGACAGCGGGCCAGTGTCCAGGCGAAGTGCAGATGTCATTCCCTCATTTGTCACTAATTCCAATATACGATTCATCTGGCGTCTTTTCATGCCTTTAGGTTAACTATTCAATCATCAAGCTCCTTAGCAACATCCTCACCCCGTAAACTTGGGGCATTTTGGCAGTGGCGGGGGGGGGCATCCATCCTGACATGATCAGAAGTGTCCGTAGTCACAGAGACGTGATCATGGGGTTTCCCAGGAGTCACCGTGAAACCCCGGGGACAAACGTCACTAAAAATGTGAAGTGACAAAAGGAGAACTTATTAAGAAGTCGTGCTCCGTTGAGGGTGCCGGTGTTTGCCCTCCTGGGGTCCCCCGGAAGCACTGACAGGTGCTGGGTGGACACAGGCGCCTCTACTCACTCACTGTTCAAGCAAATAACCGCACGCACCTGTGTGCGCCAGGCGGGCGGCTGCCGCGCGGCAGGGCCCGCACCCCCTTCCTGCCGCGAGAGCCCATCGCTGTCGACGATGAGCCCATCTCGACCCTGCGGCAGCAGGGCCCCCGCTCAGGTGGCGTCCTCGGGAGCAGGCGCAGCACGTTGTGCGGGGACCCGAGCCGCGGGGCTGGTGTTCGTGTCTGTTATTTTGCATTGTTAACCTATTTTACTTTATTTCCCTGTCTCTCCCCCCAGCCTTTTTTTTTTTTTTTTTTAACATGCTTTACTGTTAGAGAAGTTTTACAGGGAAAGCCTGTAAAGATAGTCCCTGACCCGTCACCCCGTTACCAACAGCACGACGGACACTCGTCACGGGGGCACCTGCTAGTAACACAGGCCCAGCTCCCGGCTTCCTCAGCCGTCCCCTGCCCCAGGCCCTGGCTGGGACCCACAGGGCGCTGCGTGACCGTGGCCCCCTCGGCTCCGGGACCACGGGCTGTCAGCCTGGCGCCCGGCCAGCGCCCGGGGAGGCCTGCCGGATGCCTGAACCTGAAAGGACGAACATGTGCGTACTTTGTCCCACAGAGAAGAGGTAACGTCTCGTCAATTTCAGGAGTGTCGTTAGCATCTTTGGACAAAACTCGGCGGCGGGAGCGCGTCCGCGGGCGAGACAGGCCGTCGGTGTGCCCTAGTTACCTGCGGCAACGCTCCACCAACAGGAGCAGCGGCAGCAGCGAGACCAACAACAGCAGTTTCTTCTTAGAGCGCGTTCTCATCTGCAGGGAAAGGAGACAGAAGTCCAACGTGAACAGGAAGGCGCTGCACCCCTGCCGCCTTCTGACAGCGGGGTCACGTGCAGACACCCGGGTTGGCCCCCGGACGCTCGGCCTTGGGGTCAGACCCCCGTTCTGGAAGCTCCACTGGGGACTGAGCGCGCCCAGCCAGTGACACTCGGTCCTTCCTCAACGTCCACCTCATCGTGTAAAAGAAATGCAGCGAATCTGTGTGCTGAGCAGCGGGGGACGGGAACGGGCTCCTGCCAAGGGTCCTCCCGGGCAGGAGGGTGCGACCGGCCCCCAGGGCTGGCGTTTGCCCACGTTGTCTGAGCACATGTGGGCGCCCAGGGGAGATGCTTGTACCCAGGGTTGGTGTCTAAGTCAGGGGCGTGACGTGGTGACAAGGCCCCCGTCTGGCCCAGCACCCGCCCGGGTGGGTTTTCCTTGGGCTCCTGTTCCCAGGTCTACAGGGACCAGGCTGCCGTGCGGTGTGTGAGCTCCTCGTGGCCACGCCGAAGCATTCGGGTGACAAGCAACTCCTGACGCCTGTGTCCACCAACTCGGCAGCCACTGGCCACCTGCAGCCCCGAGCACTGGAGACGCGGCTGCCCTGGCTTGGGAGGTGCTGTGAGCTGACCAGCCCGGGGGGTTGAAGACAACAGAGCTGAAACCTCTCATCTATGACTTTATATCGATCCATGGGAAACGTCAAGGCCTGGATCTACTGACCTAAACACAAACATGTTACGAAAATGAGTTCGCCTGCTTCTTTTTACCCCCTGGGATGTGGCCGCTAGAAAACAGCATCACGAAGGTGGCTCATGTTATGTGTCTACTGGACAGTTCTTGGACACAGTCACCCGGCTGCTTGCCCTGGCAGGGCTCATGTCCCCGCAACGTGACACGGAAGGAGTGCCCCGGGGGTAAGGGAGGATGGGGTCCCTCCGGCCGCACGCCGCAGCGACATTATCCGGATGTCCCGCCTCCCCGCGACAGGCCGCTTTACCTTGGGCACAGCCGTGGGGAAGACACCGAAGAGGCCCTCCGAGGAGAGAGGTTTCTGCACGTCCTGGCCTTGGGCTCGCTGCCCTGCTCCCAGCGTGGCTGGGGCTTCCGCAGGGGTGATGTCAGCAGGCTCTTTGATGACGCGAGCGTGGGGAAGCCAGTCACAGTGCTGGCTGGCCGCGGGGGCTTCTCCTGGCTGCCGGACAACGGCCTTTGTTTGTTTGAATAATTGAAGGATATTTGTAAGCGAGCTTTTCATTTCCTCTGCTGTCCCCTTGCTTGGGGCGGGCGGTGGGGAGCCGTGTGGGGCTGTGTCCGTGCGCCTGGCAGCGGGCGGGGCGGCCGCCTCCGTCTTTGTACCCCGGACGAGGTCCAGGTTGCCCGGGAGAGCACGGCCCTGCGTCCGCCTTTCAGAGGGCTTCCTGAGCTCGCCTCTCTGATCACAGAGGGGGCGCAGCCACAGTGAGGAGCAGGGAGCACGTGAGGACGCGAGGAGCAGCGATCGCAAGCCATCCCCTGTCTGGAGAGGCCGCCTTGACCTGTGGCCCTGATGTGCACCTTCAACTTGGACCCTCCCCTTTGAAAATAAGTTCACTTTTATTATAGAGAAAGTAACATGTCTACATGGTAGGCTCGTTTCCTGTGGCCGCCACAAACCGGGGGCTTAAAACAACAAAATTTAGCCTCTCAAGGTCGCGGGGAGCCAGAATCTGGCCGCGAGGTGCGGGCAGGGCCGCGCTCCCGCCCGCCGCCGGGGTGGCCGCAGCCCCTGCGCTCCCTGCCTGGCAGACGCCTCCCGCCACCTCCGCCCCGTCCTCACGTGATGACGTCTGTCTGTGCGTGCGTCCTCCGTGGCGGGCTCCTCTCTGCCCGCCGCTCTCGGCGGCCGGGAAGGGGCGTGTGGACGGCGCCGAGGGCGCATGGCCCTCGCGAGGCCTGGGGTTCTAGAAGGCTCCTGGGGCGTGCGGTGACAGGGCAGGACCCCCTTCCCGGGGGATGCCCCTCCCCGAGTGATGGACGCAGGTGCCCGGGGCTTCTCACAGCAGCCAAGGTCACGCTGGACCGTGGACCCACCTCCCAAGGCCTCTGAGGCGCTGGGGATGCAATGGGCGCCCATCTCCCCAAGATCCCAGACGACTGCCCCCCAGGGGCCCCTCCGGGGATTGCAGGTGACATGGGCAGTGAGCCATCTGAGGAACGCTCCTGATGTGGCAGAGGGCCATCAGAGGGGCCTGTTGCGGGACCTTTCTGCAGCAGAGGTGCTGTGCACCTGCCATGTGTCAGGCACCGTGCGGGCAGCGGTGGGGCACACAGCTCATTAGCAGGGAAAAAAGCACATCTGCCACGTCTTGACTCCCAGCCGGGGGTGTCCCCCCACCTCTGACCTCTGCTTTTGGCCCGAAGCCGGTGCCCCATGAGGGTCGGGCGGCCTGGCCAGCACTGGCCCCGGAGGAGGCCCCCAGGGGAGCCGGCACCCGCTCACCAGAGTTGCCCTCGGCCGGCTCTCCTTTTACGGCGCCTGCCGGCAGGCCCGGGGCCTCCTGCCGAGCCCGCTAGGCTGCCTGGGTTCTCCGCCTGGGGAGCCGTCCCTGGGGTCCCGGCGGGGTCACCCAGGGGAGCGGGCGTGGGCCGGGGTGCCTGCTCCCAGCTGGGTGGGGCATGGATGGACGCCCGGGGCTCCCTGTGTGTCTCCCGGAGGGCTGGGCTCTCACGGCCACGTGACAATGCCGGCACCTGTGCTGCCTGGGGCACCTCTGCGTGGGCACCTGGTCATAACCGGTGACAGGACTGTGACCATGAAAGAAAATGTGACGCGAGCGCAGCTCGGCGGAGGGGCAGGCCGATGCCCCAGGCTGTCCCGGGGCCCCAGGAAGTGAGCCCGCCCCAGGGCTGGGTCGAACCTGGAGCTGTCTGCACAGCAGGGGGCTTTTGAAGGCCAGGCTCTCTCTCCACGGCAGCAACACCCTCGAGAGGCCACGGTCTCTATACGTTACCCGCCAACGTCCAGCCCCTTCCACTGGTGTCTGGGGACAACCCTACACCACCAATAACCACCATCCACTGCCCATCATGTGCGCGGGGTGCGCGGGGAGGGCCTGCTGGCTGCCTCCCGGCTGAATCCGTGAACCTGACAGAGAAGGGGCCCCGCAGACAGGTGACCCCTCCAGCAGGGACCAAGGATATGACCAAAATAAGGATGAGTAATGTGACAGAGAGCAAGGGCCTGACCGGCTAGGGTGGGACAAAGGGAAGGCCAGGGGTCAGCGAGGCGGTGGGCGAAGTGGGCGGGTCCCCGTTACCACTGTCCTTTTGGAACAGGGGCGTCCCCATCACCCAGCACCTGGAACATAGTAGGTGCTCAATAAGCAAGGTATCGACCGACACGCATACTCTGCTCTGTTGTTCCAACTGGGATTTGGTGTCCAGTGTCTGGTCCGTCCAGCTGAGGCCCCACCCCGACCACCAGTCCACCTTGTGTCCAGACATAGCAGGGGGAGACAGGGACTTGTCATCAGCTCTGGGACCCCCGTCGGGACAGGGACAGGGCGCAGGCCAGGCCGTCGTCCGTCCGACCTCACGTCCGTCCTCTTCCCCTGCCTCCTCGGACTCCGAACCTCTCTCTCTGCCTGGCCCCACCGCCTGGGCCCTTAGGAGCGGTCACTTCCAGGACTTCCACCCCGAAGTCACAGTCGCGTCTTCGAGGCCAGGAGACCTCACCCAGCGTCTGTACACATGGCCGCACAGGGCACTGAAATGCATTCAGTGCGCACACCCAGGGCGGGCAGGCTGGAAGGGGCCGGCCGGAGCGCTTGGGAGGCTGTCCAGTGACCCGGAGAGGACAGTGAGGACCCAGCGTCACCCACGGCCTCCGCAGGGAAGGGGGGAGGGCAGGTAGGGGCTGGGGCTCAGGGCCCCGCCCTGCCCTGCCTGTCTCACTTCCCTTGGTGCCTTCTGATGCCACTGGACGCTCAGTCAAGCAGATGGCAGAGCGAGCCCTTTGCTGGCTGGACATCCTGAGCCGCGGGGGCGGCCCACGGCCTTTGGCTGCGTTCCCATTGTGCGGAGGACGGCGGCGCTGCAGGGGCCGGAAGCCACAGCCCAGAGGGACATAAAGGGCAGCGCGGGCGAGGCGCCCGGCGAGGGGATGGCGCTGCTGCCGCTGCCGGCGCTGCTGCTGCTGAGCCTGGTCTCTGCCCAGGAGCTCAGCCTGCGCTCCATCGTGCGCAGGAACTTTGACATGGACAAGGTGGGCCGGGCGCTGGGACGCCTGTCCTCCCCGCCCCGGGGCCTCTGACCTGTGACCGGGCGCTGCCCCGGGGGAGCCCGCCTCTCCTTCCCCAGCTGTGGCCGCGGCCTGGGGGGCAGAGGAGGTCCCTGGAGGAAAGACGGGATCCCTGGAGGGCACATGGGGCCCTGGCGGGGAGCCGTGTGCCCAGGGGTCCGGCCCCGGACGGGAGGGGCAAGGAGCCCCAGAGCCGTCCCCCAGGCCCCCCGCCCACGCTCCTTTGTCGGCAGGTGGCAGGGGCCTGGCGCTCTATTTCCATGGCCTCAGATGACCTGAAGCGGATCGAAGAAAATGGGGACCTGAGGGTCTTCCTCCAAAACATCGAACTCGTGGACAACGGCGGCCTGAGGTTCTCCTTCCACTTTATGTGAGCGCGGTCCTGGACAGCGGGGCCCAGCCCCCCACCCCGCAGCTGCTGACCCCGGGGTGGGGGGCGCTGCAGGGGGAGGGGCGGGGGAGGGAGCCGGTGGGGTGGGGAAGGGTCCGCTCACCCCCGGCCTACCACGCCCCACACGCAGGCTGCTCGGGGGGTGTCTGGAGGCAGCTGTGGTCTGCAATAAGACTGAGAAGAACGGGGAGTACACCCTGGCCTGTGAGTGGACGTCCATCCCTCGGGGCCTCGGCCATTTCCCAGGGAGCTCCGACCCAGGGGGCTTTAGGGGACCCTGGATGGCTTCAGCCCAAGTGAGAGGGCCCAGCCTGGCACGCAGCCCCGGGGACCCCACCGGCCCTGTGTTGCAAGGGCCCCGGCTCTGTCCCCGGGGCAGGGGGGCCCTGGAGGGGCCACCAGGGCATGGCCCCCCCGCCCCCCGAGCGGGCACCACGTGCTCACACTGCCCTCCCACCAAGACCCACTGTCCCACCACCCACCCCCTCGGCCACGCGCACCCCAGCGCCCACCTGCGGGTGCCCCACGGGGCGGGGCGGGGCCGCTCTGAGCCGTGTCTCTCGCAGACCAGGGGGATGGCAGGGTCCTGCTCTTGGAGACCGACTACAGATTCTACTCCATCTTCTACCTCCGCAGCGTGAGCAACGGCACCGAGACCCAAGTGCTGGCGCTCTACGGTACCTCCACCTCCTGGGGGCCTGTCTGCCTCCTGCGGGCCCCTCCCCTGAAGACAGGCCCCACGCCGCTCGTTCCCACAGTAGAGTCCCACCACGGGGCGAGGGTGGCCTGGGCCCAGGCGGTCGTGGCCCGCAGCCTGCAGAGGGCCCTGGACACCCTGCCTGCACATCGTCCCAAACAGCCAGGGAGCGGCCCCAGCCTGCCCTTCTATCCTCAGGGCGGGTAGCAGAGCTGCGCTCCAGCTTCCTGGCCCGATTTGAAAAAATCTGCAGGAGATACGGCCTAGAGCCACAAAATATCATCAACCTGAACCACCAAGGTAGGGCCTGTGGCTTCCGGGGAGATGTGGGGGGGACTCCTGGCACAGCACAGCCCTGGCACGGGGACCCGAGGGTCTGCAGGAGGAGGAGACCCCAGCGAGGCCCCTCTCAGAGCCGGCTCTGTCTCCCCAGATCCGTGCGTCAAATACAAGAGGTAGCGGAGACCCCGGCTGTCGCGGCCGGTGCGTGAGCTCCGAGTGCCGTGCGGGCGCTGGGGCAGCAGGAGGCCCGCGGGACGGCGGGGACGTGTCTCCCAGCCCAGCCCTCGACGGGTGTCCTGCGGGGCGACAGGGCCTGCGCAAACGTGAACCCCACCCCCATGGCTGCCCGGGGCCACTGGCACAAATGACCACAATCTGGGCGACTTATAACAACAGTTCTGAACACACGGGCTCTGACACGCAGGTGCCCCGGGGCCCCGCTGCCTCTGGAGTCCCCGCGGAGGGCCCTTCCTTCCCCTTACAGCTCGGGCGGTCGCAGGCGTCCCCCAGCCGGTGGCCACAGCCCTCTAGCCTCTGTCTCCATGGTAATACGCCTTCTCCTCTGTGCCCTTGTCTCTCCTCTCCTGTCTCTTACAAGGATGCTGTCACTGGATCGGGGGCTGGACAACGTGGGAAGATCTCGTCTCAAACACGCCTGCGATGACCCTTTCCACATCCAGCCCCAGGCACAGCTGCTGGCAGTGGGGACCGAGCCTGGGCACATCGGGGGGCACCGTGCTGGCGGGGTGGCGGCGGGTGCCGGGGGTCCCTCCGTGTTCATCTTCACAACCCCGTGGGAACCTTCGACAATCTCACAATAAAAAGTGCACGAGGAAGTGCGCGTCCCTCCTTCTGAGGCCCCCAGGGCATGTAAACAGGCTGACCCCCGTCCGCCAGGGCGGCTCCCCGCCGGCGCCAGCCTCGCCCCATCTGAGGGGCGGCTGGCCCTGCTCCCCCCCCGCCCCCCTGCAGGCGAGCACAGCCTGGGACGCGCCCCGTGGCCCACTGCCCCGGGATCCCCAGGACAGGGACACAGGCTGGACGGCCGTGGCTGGGGCCAGCCCCAGACTCCGGGGGTTCTCCCTCAAGGCTCGCCCTCTCGGGGGCCAGGGCGGACGCCCCCGCCCCGCCCCAGGAACAGCTTGTCAAGCGGCTTCAGGACCGGGGCCCTGGGCACCGATCCCTGTCCAGGCTGGGGTGGGCTGGAGAGCCCTGTGCCCCTTCCAAGGTGCCGGGTGCCCGACAGAGCAGCTTCCTGTGGGCAGGCAGTGAGCGAGGGGCCCCCGGCACTCACACGCAGGGCTTTGTCCCCTGTTCCCTGTCCGGGACCTCGGTCCAGCCTGCTGGGCTGTGGCTGGGGACAGGTCGGCCGCCGCCCACTCTGCCCGGACCTGCTGGTGCAGGAAGCTGGTACTTGGCGAACAGCGTGGGCCTGCCCAAAGGGATGCCAGGAGGCGGCTGCTG